TTTGTGCGAATGTGGTTGCTGAGCAGCTGAAGCGCGATGATGACCTGTATTTCGTATGGCAAAACGTGTACGCTTTTTTTGGGGTTTATGTGTCTGTTTTTGTTTTGCTACTATTTCCATTTATCTTTTTGGCATAGCCGCTTATCGTGTGTAAATGGTCAACATTTTTTTTTCACTCCCTCTCGCCGGTCTTTCTCGCTGCTTTGTGTTGATGGTTGGCTTTGCATTCGAGTGAAACCGCAAGCTTAACGCTTTTCATTGTCGACTTTGAATTTTTCGATATTTTCTATGAGAGTTTTATGCGGTTTCATTTATAAAATATCTCATCACATCGCTTTTCATACCGAGTGCAGCCGACACACAGAGTCTAATCCACTGTAATAAGTAGATCAATTATTATTCTCAGTTGAACATTAAAAATGAAAATTTGCATTTGCATTGTGGCTAAAACGAGCGAAAGGGATAAAGAAAAGTAATAATTTTGAGCCATAATCGTCGAATGTAGCGCACACAAATCATACACACACACATACACGTACCAAGACAGAGCGACACTGTATTATTTCGGACCATGAATTTCGTTATCGTGCAACTGAACAGTAACGAGTTATTGTTTCATTCTATTGTTAAGAGCTTATCACTGCAGCTGAGCTGATGATTCAACACAAATGAATGCCAAGCAAATAGCGTAAATCACATCATTCATTTCCATGGCGAGCGAGCTAGAGACGACGACGGCAACGACGGCACGGAAACGCGATTGCTGTATAATTTTCCTGTCTTGTGTTAAATGAACTCGTAAGAAAATCAAGCATAAATTGTTACAACTCACTTCATTTACAGATGCGAGCAATGATTTAACACTCGATGTGTCTTGGTCTCTTGCTCTTTCACTCGCACTCGTTCTCGTTCGTATCTCTTTCCTCGACAGCCTGCAAACAGCAGCCGCCATAGAGCAAACAGTCGTATTCGATTCTCTAATTGAATAAGGTTGTTTGAATTGCACAAATGTCATGCACGTACGAACGTAAATTGTTTCATTTTTTTCAACGAAAAACGAAAAAAAAAATCCAAACACGAAAAGAAAGAATGACGGCGAATGAGTAGATCGTGTGTTTTTTTTCTCTCTTCTTTCGCGCCCACTTGAAAATGTGCTCAATTTAATGCAATTTCCGTGTATGCAGACAGAGTCGCGCATTCAAGACGAAATATATCAATTATTTCGTATTTCAATTGTGTATAGTATTTCCAGGCTCTAGCTTGATTTAGTCTCGGTGTGTGTATGCAAAAAAAACAGCAAATGTCTGCTCATTGCCAAATCACTTTACACATTCACAAATTATGCACTTTTCATTTTATTATTGTTTGCCGTAGTCGTCGTCGACGTTGTTTTCACTCTCGTCTTCATCTCACAGCCACTTAATGCGTCTGGCATGAGAAATCGTAATTCTTGGAAAATTGAACATTTCAACCGATGTGCATTAGTCTGGAGGAATTATCGATGTGTGTGTGTGTGTGTATCCTTTGCGCTGAATTGACGATTCAAATCACGACCGCCGATTATAAAATGCAATGTGCCGCACTTTTGTATACGAAATTGCCAACCTTTATTATATATGCGAATGAATATAGGTCGAATTCATTCACGTTTCCATTCTAAATTTGAAATGAACAAAGAATGATGTTGCCTGATAAGATTGAACGTCACATTTCAAGACAAAATAACGATAGAAATCTCCGGTTCGTTCATTTTCTCGAAAATTTCATTTCGTTGTACAAATTTAATTATCAGATCTGAAACAAGAGCGTTAAAATGCATTCTGAAAATGTAGATGCAAAATTGTAGATATTGAGAGAGCAAAACTAGACGACGACGACGACGACGACGACGATGAAACGAACCGAGTAATATGCTTGAGCAATGCCGTTGGCAGCAGCCACACCAACGGTACACACATGTTTGTCGAGCGAAGAAAACAAACGAGAGAGCCACAGACTTTGTTAAGAAAATGAAATTTTTCTCGCTTCTTTTTCCAACACGAAAACGAAAACAACAACAAAAAGTGCATTGCATTGTAGTCCAGAGATTTTGTTTGATGTGTGTATTTTCATGTATTTTTCAAGAGCATATTTTGTCTTGACATTTTAAGTTTATTATGCATAAATGTCCATGTTTGCACACATGAAATCCAACTTTCACTGCTACTGCATAAGTAATTTTAGAAAATAACAACGAACAAACGAATATAATAATAATAATAATAACAATGTGATGCACAACGGAACAAAACAAAAGCAGCAGCGGCAGCGACTACAGCAGCAGACGAAAGGCAGCAGCAGAAAAAAAGTGCATGACGAAAAACAAAGACGAGCCAAACGATGCGTTTTGTTAGTGCTAGTGTTTCGTTCCACAAGTACAATTTCCTGTGAGCAGTGTGCATGCTCTCGCTCTCGCGCTCTCTCTCTTTCTCTCTACATCAATTGAAAGAGACAACGCGCAACATTTCGTTGTATATTGAAATAATTTGTTGTCAAAGTACTTCTTTTTTATGTTGCTCTATCTTTCTCTCTCGCATTTTATTCCACGTCTTTAGTTTAATTTTCGTTCATCACTGTCGGACTGTTGTCGGCATCGTCGTCGTCGTCGTCATTCTCACTCGTAGAATTCCGAGTGAAATTGTTTCAAGTTCTTCATGAACATTCCGTAACTCTCGCGCGTTAATTTCATTTAATTCTTTGTGTTCACATTTTGTGATTGCTCTTACCACTGGGTTTGTTGTTTTCAGTCAAATTGAAATGTTTGTGGTTCGTTCGCTTGAAATGAGATGAATATAATCAATGTATACGCATCACGGTTCTCTCTCTCTCTCTTTCTGCTGCCACTGACAACAAAACCGATTTTGCGGCGATTGCGTTTTCTATTTGCGTAATAATCATCGTTTTTCGGTTCGTTTAGTGTGTGTTGCTTGGTTGGTTGGCTTGTGTACGGACATTTGGTGTCATTGTTATCACTCGCTCCTTTGCTCACATGTACATCTTCTCGAACGCTTCTTCCAATTTCAATCTTATTATCTTCTATCATTGGATTTATGGAGTGGCCGCATTGAAGTCGGTGCGCATAATTTGCATTTAAAATGTATATATATTTCAAATAGAATAGTTTACACCATTTAATATGTGTGTATGGTGGTGCAATGAAGAGCGAGACTGAGCGAAAGAGAGAGGGAGAGAGAGAGAGAGAGTGATACACACAAACGCAGTAAGTGCTTGTGCGTACCACTCAAAAAAGATGTCTAATTGGAATTTATTCGATTAATTCCAATTGAGTATTCTTTATTCTTCCGGTTTTTGGTTTGAATTTTTAAATGAACGGCACAGGAACGACAATGCGGCCCCATGAATACACAAAAGGAAAATATACGCATGAGAGAGAGAATAAAAAAAGGCAGCTATTGACTACGCTGCCGCTTGAGTCAAGTCGGTTGAAGCAAGTAAAAAGATCGAGATGGCGATTCACCTAGGCGGTCTTGACTCGACTCGACTTGACGTTATTTTTGGTCATTTGATCTGAACTCGGTGCCTACGGCTTTTTAATGTTCAGTGCGGAAACACTTTAATTTTCATTCAATTCACTAATTTTAGTACATGTGTACACATGAAAATTGATTTGATTCATGAATTGTCTTGTGGTGTTGTGTTCTCAAACAATGGCATCGTGTACATGATATTTGGCCTAATTTTCAAATCACAATTCACCCAAAACATGTTCGTCTCACAATATTGCAAAAGTTCAACCACATAAAGTACATGCTGCTGTCGCTGTCGTTGTCTTTCACTCTCTCGTTCGTTTTCTCGCTGGGTGACTGATGCACGATCCGATTGTCATACAATCAATAAATTTTGACTGCCATGTTGTGCACCGTTACAATTCATGACCCATTCATTATCGACACGATGATAGGCTTCTCTTATTCGTGAAACAAAAGGGCATTTGCTGCTGTTGCCGCTTCTTCATTCAGCTCTCGCTTCTTGTTTTGCCTCGTTTTCGGACTTGTTCATTTTAATTATAGCTCTTAGATTTCACGTTTGAAGTGAAAAACGAAATCAAATTTTTCCATTAACACACAAAACAATGGCTGATGTTGCATCGCATTCTCTGCAAACAATAGCTCGAGTCAATTACAGACAAATGATTCGCGGTCTGTCGTGAGCGCTGACAACAGAGCAACACAACTCCGGGTACAACAGTAATAGTAACAACAACAACAACAACGGCAACAGCATTCTCGTCTCAGTTTGTGTGTCAGTAATGTGTTTGTATACGTGTGCATATAGATGCGAATAAATTTTCAGAAAATGTGAAAGAAAAACAACAAATTGTTCAAAAAAAGAAAATAACAATTCATTCATTACTCAGCAGCTGCCGCTCGTATGAATGTGTTGTGTGACTTGAAAGGTTCGATCACGACGAATCTCTCACGCCGCCGATTTCAATGTTAAATCGTATAATTTTTTAATTTCTTTTTCTTTCTCTCTCTTTTTGTGTCTATTGCAGAATCAATTTTGCAGCCGGCAAGGTGAAAAGCGCGCGCGTACAAACGCCAACGAGAGAAAGTTACTACAGAACGCAGTGTAAACAAAAACGACATTTTCGGTGTTTGTAAAATAAGTAACAGAAGGAAAAGAAAAGTTTCATCCAAAAAAGATAGATTTTTGGTTTGGTGCGGTGTGAAAAAAAGTTAAAATTATCATAAGAAAAGTGGGGATTTAAAACGATTAATAAAGTTACAGTATTTTAACAACAACAACAAAATCGAATTCCATTTTCTTTCGGTTGTACTTGATGGAAATTGAAAGAGGCCCGAATGTGCGGTGAATCGGGCAAATAGATTTATTACGATTTGATAAAAAAAAAATAAGTAAATTCAGTTCGGTAGAACCATTTTGTGTTTGAATACAGTGAGAGCAGTGGCACCACTGTGCTACAGGTGGTGAAAAAAATGTGGGTGTCTTCCATGACATCGCCTCATCGTTCAGCCGCTGCTCGATGTGGTAGTGGCCGCAACAATGACAGAACATCAACAACAACAACAACAACGACAGCAGCAACAGCATTCACAAAGCATTTTCGGCCGTTCACATGGAATGCGGCGCTAAATATGTGCGCTGCACTTGTGCTACTTAACACAGTTGGATTAATTTCGAATTCGGTAGCACGTGCTGACACAGTGCAGTATCCAGTAACAGCTGCGATCGGTAGCGTTATACCACCAGGTAAGAATGGTTTATTTTTTTGCAATTAACAACACAACAGTGTAAATCGCATGTACAGTATCCAAAGTAGTCCATATAAGAGGATCACCAAATAATTATTACCAGATAGCCAAATCCATTGTGGTTTCCGCATTTCACCTTCATCTCCAGTCTCACCGCAAATATCTTTGCGACTCGATTTAATCAATCTAATTAAGCGCAGGAAAAGTGTATTGAACTGTCAAATTGATGGCGCTGAGACAGGGTAGAGATAGAGAGAAATGCATTATCAATTGATTGACATTCGATTATCTTTTCACCACATTTCATTGTGAAATTCACAAACCAATTAATAAATTATATGCCATTTGCGCTTCGATTGTTACCACGACGATAGTGCGCACTTGCTGGCATTGGATGTGATTAGATATCGGCAATGCGCGAAACAACCGCTTGATTAGTTGATAAATAACAACGACCAGTTTTCAATAAGCGTATCGATTCAATTTTCATTTGATTTGCCGTGGAACGAACTAATCACAACGACATGAAAATATGCACACAGATAGATGGGGAGAAGAAAATGGATAGAAAGAGAAAAATCAAGAGCAAATTAATCAGTGTGTATCAACGACGATGATGGCAAACGACGACGACGACAACAACGGATTTATGCACTTGCCAACACTTACATATACGCAAGGCATCCAGATTAGTACTTACGTTCAGTTCATTGCGCAGCCAATTCAACGGAAAATAATATGCAAATGACGAATTATTAGGAAAACACTCTTCACTCGCTTGACATCGACTTGCCTGCTTACTCGCACATTCACTTGTTCGCTCGTTGTGTGTATCTCTCAGCCAAAGTGTGTTTGTTGTCGGGCAACAAGAAATACTTTGGCACTTACAAGCACATCGCAAACAATTTCCTGTGTTATTGAACGCTTAAATGCAAATGAATCGCAGCGAAACAGCAAGCTCTACATTCATGCTGCAAAGTGTATAGGTGTGACGGTGTATAGTTCTCGAGAGATGGGCATAAATAACGGTACACAAATATTGATAACAAAGTAAAATTATATTCATTCAGTTCATTCGATAAAGCGGAAAGCCTCGAACTTCATTATTTATAGCCATTGTACGTGCAAATATTCACCTTCAACGACAACGACGACGACGACAAAAAAGAAGAAAATAGTCACCGACTTGTCGTACCCATGCCATTCAGTCCGATTTGAAATTCGATTCACGCGCGCATTCACATTGAACGAAACAAAAGAGGAAGGAAAAAAATGGGAAAGATATTCTATAATAATCGCCCAGTTGATACACACACACACGTTGGTCATATAGTTATCGAATCACAGTTGCACACGAGGCAAATACAAATGTATCGAGTGAATTTTCGCTTCCGAACTTCTTTGCTTATGTTCATCACCTTCGAAGGCGAACTGGAGAGAAGAGTCGTTTTCTTCCTCGGTACACACATTTGCATGAAAAACTCATAAAAACCGTTTGTTCTTTGCAAAGCGCATTCGTTCAATTATTTACTTTGATCATTCTTCACTATAAATGGCTTTGGCCGCCGTCGAATTCATCTTCATATTTAATTAAGAATGATGACATTGAGTTTTCCAAGTGATTTCGGTTATTTGATATACGGTTTTTTTTCTTGTCCGCCCAGTTAAGTGCCTGTGTCAATGAATTTAATTTTGATTCACAACGCATAGCAAAAGAGAAAGAACGAGAAAGAGGCAGAGATTCTCATTCTATTTGCCTAAATGTCAAACCATTTAGCAATGCCTCGTTCGAACAATTTTCCGAAAATGGAAAAAGTCGACATAAACAAGCGGCACTATGAATAAATTGAGGTACACAAATTCAATTAATCTACATTTTGCCGTTTTTAAGAAGCTCTTTGACTTTCTTTCTCTATTCGGTTCCATCTCTTGCTCTTTCTCTCTCTCTCTCTCTCTCCTCCCATGTTACTGGATGTCTGTGTTCTTTCTTGTTCGGGCTCGTGAGTCTATTCAACATCGCATCATTTTCATTCATGTGCTCTCTCACGTTTCCCAAACATAATCCATGGTATTTGCAATGTGAATCTCTTTTTAAAATGCGAGAGATGGAGTAAAAATCGATTTTCTTCTTCTTCTTCTTCCCTCCTTTTGCTTTGCTGTGTGTCTTCCACCTCCTCGTACTCATCGTCGTTGTTGTTGTTTTTGTTGTTGTTGTCGGCAAAAGTTATCCTAAGAAAATCTCTGCCATTTAAAGCATAAATATTTATTTGTATGAAGCCAATTTTCGTTCGTTTGGTTTGGAATTGATTGCGCGCGGGCCCATGCGATTTTAACGAATGGAAATGCTGAAATTGAATTTTAATTTGAAACACAGCTAAAGCGAAAATCCGATTTCGCTTTTACCGAACAGCAACAGCACAAATGAAAATGAACTGGCATCCTGAACTGATGAGCAATCATCCGAAATTACCTTCGGGCTTTACAGAGCAAAGTCGCAGCAGCAGCGGCAGCAGCAGCATCATCACAAGCGCATCGGAAATTAAATGTTGAAATATTACTTGATGAAATTGCTTTTTCCCAATGTTAAAACGCTTTTCTTGTCCATGCCACATCATCTTACCGAAGAATTAGTTGAAAGAATTTGTATGAAATTCTTGAAAAGCATTGCTTGGAAATGCAAACGAGAGAGAGAGAGAGAAAGAGAGAGAGAGAGAGAGAGAGAAGTAGTTGTGGTGCGCTGTATGCTCTTATGGTGGTGGATAAAAGTTTGCTTGTTGAAAGGCGTAACAGCATCAACTGGATTGTATGCCATTCTAAATTTGTATAAATCGGATACTTGATACCATTTCTCAAGCGCAACAAACTCACAAACAACTCCAATCATGACTACTATACATAGTGAATGTATGCGTTTTTCAGTCCATTTCGTTGCACAGTTATTTCAGTGCTCTTTCATAATTCTGGAAAAATACGTACAAGAAAAAGCGAGAGAGAAATAGATTGAATTGCACTCGGTGCGCAGAGGAATTCAAACATTCGTTACCTCGGAAAAAAAAGAGAAGAAAAAAAATGAAACCAAAATGACAACCAGAAATGCCAAGAAAATGTTTAGGTTATAGATTGAGGTGTGCGCGGGTGAGGCGAGCGAAGAGAGCAAGAGAATGTGACTTAGAAAATGAATGTGACATGTGAAAATAGATAGGCCAACGAACCGTTTAAAGTATTTCATGTGTGTGGCAATAAAATATGTAATTCACGTAATTCACCACCATTTCAACTTGTGAGATCGCGCTCACTTACAACGCGTTCTCAATAAGTACTTGTGTCCTGATCCAGCGTATATTGTGTTTGCGCTGTTCAACATACTTCGCTTTGTTTTTCCATGTACCAATTTTCGGTTTTATTTGAATAAATTGTCAAATGCTGCATATAAAGGAGAAAGAACGGCAATTGTGGAGCACAAAGCATACACAAACCAAATATTGTATGCTTTGTGAGGCCTAGTGAGTGGCTGGCGCGCGAACACGATCACATACGTCATATCATACATTGATTTAACGAATTATGTACGGGAAATAACGAAAAACAAATGTTTCCAGTGTTTACACACACACACACTCTCTCTCTCTCTCTCTGTATGTGTGTCGGTATGGTGTTGGTGTGAGCAAACGAGTAAGTGAGTGTGTTATGAGCTGCTTCGTCTGTCATGCTGATTTGTATCACTAAACACGTTGAGAATTTGCATTTACGACGCAAATATGACAGCAGCGACAATTTTCTCTGTCGAAACGATGAATATGCTCATATGGTCCATGTTTAAGGCGAGAAACAGAGAGGGAGAGATAGCAATAGCAACATCTCGACTTGATTCTCTTTATGTTGCTGCTTCGACTGTTGCTTGTCAGTTTTGTCACATGAACAAATGACAATGATGACAAAAAAGAAATTGGGAAATTTATTTGTTTCGCTTTTCAGAAGGCTTACAATGAAATTAGGTATATACTACTGTGTAACACGATGCCAAACGACATAGGAAATTAGATAATTTTTTCCAAATTATTCTCAGCCTAGATGTTTTATGTCAGACGGATGCGAGAGTTACAAAGAGAACTTGTATGTTGGTATATGATATCATTACAACGGGCCATAATTTAATTAAACGGAAAAACATGAGATTCATTTAAAATTATATACGCACACAATCATATATGCGTCACAAGTAAAATGGTCACTTGGAGTTTGTTAACAAAGTTTGTTTTTATTTAATAGTTGCCCGTGGCACTTTAGAAGGAAAAAAAATGCGACAAGTACAAAACATAATATCCACTAACGATTTTTTCTCTAATCCCGCTTTTCTGTGCATAAGAGTTTATAAGTATCTCACGAGATGAGCGATGGATTCTAGGAATTGGGAAATCATTGCCATGACATCGAAGTGATTAAAACTTGCTATGCCATGAGAATGAACGTCGGCAAAAAAAAAAAAAAATAACGAACATTTACGTCGAAAACTATATAGCTGATGATGAAAAGTTAATTTCACATCAACATTTTCCAAAATGAGTGCACTGCCTTGAAGCAGCTATGAATTATTAATTCAATTAAACGATTCACGAACGCATGTTAGATCGTATTAACCACATATCAAAACCGAGTGTTTCTACAAATTCCAATTAAAACTGTAAACTTTTGACACGGAAAAATCGGCGCTGATGGTGTTTCCTTCACATGAGCAAGCGAATGAACGTTGTGAAAATTTGATCCTAGCGAAATGTATTGGTTTCCAAGCGAAGGAAATAACATAATTATTTAACGGCATCGCAACGTTTTTGGTTGGAATTTCGCATGAATTGGCTCGACTGATTTTCATATGCGTTCACATGTTTGCGCGTGTGTTTGCTTGTTTGTTGCGGTAAAAGTGTTCTAAATTCACCAATTTTGTCAGAGCCAGATAGAAAGATAATTCGACGTGCGTATTTGATTACGACAATATTTCAC